GGCGAGGGGGGGAGGGGGGGCTCTCGCAGACGTTCCATAAAAAGGGCTGTCATGCCATCCAATCGTAGATCCTATCGTAGAATCAGCGACGCGCCACCACCCCGAAAGCCTTCTTGTCGGTCTTGCAGTCGTGGAAGCCGGCGCCGATCAGCCGATCGATCACCCCTCGGAACAATCGTCCGCCCTCGCTGCGCGTAGCACGACGCACAGAAAGTAGAGGAGAGAGGGGGAAGGGCGGGCGGGCGGGAGGGATAATTAGCTCATCACGAACGTCTTGGCCTCGACTGCCGTCGTTCCCTAAACAAAAAAGTGGTTGTCGCCGATCCGTGCTCGTGGGGAGCGGGGGCTACATACGACGTTCGGTGCTGACTTTTCGCGACGTGAGCACCGCGGCGGAGTCTTCTCCCCATGTGGCAAAGCACGATGATGGCATATAACATATGAGGTTCCGACTTGAGTTTTAACGTATGCCACCCGGGTATTTTTCTTTTGTTTTCTTCCATTGAGTATGGATGGAAAAAAAAACGGTGGGGGGGGGGCGGCAGGGGGGTGTACTTATAGTCGTGCATGCCGTAGTCGTTTGACCATTGACCTCGCATCCCTACAAAGCCGGGACGGAGCACGCCGGGTTCTCACCGGACCAGGCTCTCACATCACCAAGCGCGAATCGCCGTGAGGTATTTGGCGAGTCGCATGAAGGGTGAGCTGCATCCTGCTAAGGGTGTTCGGCATCTTGTGCTTACTTCCTTGCGTACGGATGACAGCTACGTATGACTTAATTTATTTTCTGGTGCTTTCACTTCCAGAGACAGTTGTAAGCACTGTGTAACTGCCTCGAGGAAGCTTGACCATTTTAACACAACGTGGTGCGATCATCCCCCGTTGCGCGGAGCGAGGTTTCTCGACCCCGCACAACATGATCTACTCGACCACCATTATGGTTACCGCCAAAAAAAAAAACCAGAGGTAAAAAAAAAAGACGGTAACCTGGTTGCCAAGTTCACGAAGTGAATTGGCTTGTTTTATAACGTCGTTGCCAATCGACGAAAACCCAATCCCGATGGCAAACACCGAGTGGGGGGCTTGTTTTACAACGTCGTTGCCAATCGACGAAAACCCAAACCCCGATGGCAAACACCGGGGGGGGGGGGCGGCTTGTTTTACAACGCCCTTGCCAAGCGACGAAAACCCAACCCCGAGGGCAAACCCCGGGGGGGGCGCCGGGATAGGGGGGGGGGATATATCTATGTCAGTCGTCGTACATGCCCATCTCCAGACGGTAAGAAAACACAAACTCGGTCATGGGGCTAGGGCCTTTCGCCATTGCATAGGGACCTCTCCCCCCTCTGCCTACACCAACAAACACCAAGGCAAGTAATCGTGTTCTGGATGGTCGGTCAGGTATTTTTTTCGGTCGGTCCAAGAGCGGGATTGCACAACGCGTGTTGTGGCCATTTCCTTTTGACCAAAAAAGAATATTTTCGTGGTCCCGTCTCACACCTCACACCTCGCAGCAGTCCCCGAGGAGGCTGGTGATCTTCTCGTTCCGGAACATCTCCTGGCTCCACGGGTTGCGCCTGCACATCCTCAGGGATACCTCGTCCAGCTCTACCGTCACCACGCCGCTGACCCCCCTGCACCGCGCCGCCGCGATGGCGGTGTAACCAAGGCCGGTGCACGTGTCGAGGACCCTGTTGGGGGGGGGGGGGGGGGGTCATGAGGTCCGTCAGTCCGATCCGCCGCGGCAGAAACAACCCGCCCCCGCCGAAAACACACACAAAAGACACACGAAAGGACGGAGATAGGAGTGGAGCAAGCGGCGGGTGGGTGGACAGAGAAAAAGCCAATCCCCCCCGAAAAAAACACACACAATCACAAACACCCCAGAGGACGGAGAACAGCAGTGGGAGACGGGCAGAGAGAAAGCGGCGTGCTGGTTTCAACAAACGGTTGAACTCGCTCATGAGCGGAGGGGGCAAGGGTGTACACTGCTGTACACTCGAGAGGTGTTGGTAGGCTGGAATTTCCACATGGGAACAAGACTCGCTTCTAAGCGTACACAGGCCACATCGCCATAGCTACGAGCACCACCAGGGCAACATGCATTGATACGAAACGCGACTACCTTGTGCTAGAGTACCCATTCAGAGAGCAAAGCCATTCAGCAACAGAGGTACTGTAGACAACAACACCTGCCGTTCGTTCGCCGCGCGCCTGACGCCGAGACTTTGTGTTCAGTGTCTAGGCCTGGCTCCATGGTCTTGGTAGATTTCGTAGATTCCACGTCGTCAAGGGAGAAAGAAGACAGGCAACACGGAGCAAGGAATGGGCACACATGTTACACTTGCTGTCAAGGTTTAAGGACGCCAAAGGACGACGGTCAGGAGCGTTCAGGCAGACATGGAACGAGGAAGGCCAAAAAAAAGGGACAGAGCGTGCTCCAGCCTAGACACGGCACACCTTCTTTTCTTGCACGTGAACTAATAATATGTTAAAGGCCAGAATAAAAAAACAACACACGCAGAGAGAACGCGCTGTTCTGGGTACCTCTCCGGTGCTATGCCTCAACATGTCGGCGAAAAGGGTCGGCAACAAAGCACTCGCCAAGCAGGGCATACAAGCGGTTCGACCTACTATATCGGGACCAAACACCGCACCTCCCACCACGCCCCATCCATCCGCTTGCACAGCTAATCCCGAGTAAACCAGGACCGCACGCTTAGCCTACCGCGTGCAGAGAGAGAGAGACAGACACCTCGCCGCACTCAAAACAGATCCAACCGCACGCACCGACTTCTGGTCACCCCCGCTTATCCTGTGCATCGCGAACCCCCCCAGTACCATCGTGGGGGCCCCCGCAGATCGGAGGGGCGCGCAGAGCATGGCGGGGCGGCTGGTGCTTTCGCTTATGTCCGACACCTTTACTCGACGAGCGAGAGGATATGGAGAGGGGGGCACAACGATAGGCGCCGTTGCGGGGAGTAGTGAGAAGTAGGCCCACGAACGATTCATGTTGTTCATGGGGAAGAGGGTTGGTGCCGTGCTTGCTTGCTTACTTCCTCGAATAGCTCGAGTTAGAAGTCCAGTAAAGCCGTCGGTCGGGGCTACCATAAAAGTCCTCTTGCCTCTTTGCCTTTTATAGTCTTCACGGCAAGTTTGTCAAAGCCTCGAGGTATGTGCATGCCCTCTTGATTTCTTACACACCGCGGGGCTGCGACTTTGGGAGCCGAGGAGTACTGCCGATACATGAAACAAATTGTACCCACTGCTGTTGTGCAATACCCCCCGAGAAAACGAACGGTCGTGCGCAGACGTGTTGGGGAACAGACGCAGACCACTGTTGTTGTGTCCTGTCTCAAGTGGTGCGCCGCCTTGCTCGTACTACTGCTGTGGCAGACGACACAGGAAACATGAAAACGAAAACGTCAAACCACTAGACCACTGAGTGGTAGACACAAAACGTGCAGCGGCACGTCACACCCGCTTCGCGAATGCCCCAAGCATCCGTGTCCCCCACGGCACGAGAACAAGCAGGTACAGGCCCCAGGCCGGCCGGCTCGTTTCATCTGCAAAAAAAATGAAATCTACAATGCACGCGCGTTGCCTCTTTACTGGTTCGCGATTATCTTGCGTCTTGCCTTGCAAGGCGTGTTTCCGTCTGCGTACAGCTCCCAGCAGCCGTACTGCCCCTTCTTCGCCTTCTTGAGCACCACGGCGAGCTCGTCCCAGGAAGCCACGAGATTCGACTCGGCGTCGCCGTCGCCGTCGGCGGCGGCGGGAGAAGGCGGCAGGGCTTGTTGAGGACGTCGCCGCACGGAGCATCGAAGGACGTTCGTCCACCACGTCGTCGAAGACCGACAGGCATATGGGGTACGCGGAGAGCAAAAACATGAATGACCGACGGCGTGATAGCAACGACGCGTACCCAACGTCTCTGGAAGACGATCCACTCTTTCGCAGCAGTACCAGAATCGACGTAAACAAAGAGCATCCCCGGCAGCAGGGGGCACAAGCGCTCGAATGCTCCACCTCGAGCGAGGAACTTTTTTTGGGCAAGGCCACGGAGGCCTGCGGCGGGCACGACCGAGAGACGTGCTCGTTGCTCCAGCGAACAGATGCAACGCGTGCGTCGACTGACGAAGACGGGGAACAAACGCCACAAGTAAGCAGGGCGATGATTTTCGAAAGTATCGGCGTCATTGTTGCCCTAGCTGCAGGGGCTTCAGAGATGCCATTCGACAAGGTTAGAGCCAACACACGGTGCGCTATCTGCACGCACATCGTCGTTCGCAGCAACTACGTCGAGGCTACACCTGTACCGACACCAAGAAGAAACAAAACACGCGTCTTTACGGATCACCGCCACCATCGGTGCAAGGCCGCGGATGTCACGCAAAAAGCAGAACAACCCTATTTGTATACCCTCACCGACACCCTCCTCCGTCGAGACGAGCTCCCGCTCCGTCATGCTCATGTCCAACGATCCCACGAAGGTCCCCTCCTTGCCCTTTTGCGCCAAGAGGCGCGAGGCCTCGAAGTGCCCGATCAGGCCTACAGCCTCCGCCGGCTCCTCGGCGTCATCGGCCATTGCCGCCGGATGACCTCCTGCGCCCTCCTCCTCCTCCTCCTCCTCCTCCTCCTCCGTGGAGTAGGGGCGCGATAGTAGCAGGTTTTGTGCCTCCTGCTCGGCCCCCTCCGGCGGCACGAGGCCCATGTCGATCATTTGTTGTCGCGTGAAGGCCAGCGCGGTGTTGGAGCACCGACGCCCCCCCGCTGCAGGTTTTCGTGTCAAAAGGGGTGTCACGCGCGCACGCATGTTACCCAACGGGGATACCCAACACAAGGGTCTTTGCGGAATATAGGTCTAGGGAAATTGTTGGACAGGGAAAAGACGAGAGCTTCTGTTTACTGGGATATAATTTCAATCTTTCAGGGGATGAGTCTTAAACGGCCCCTCCCAGGAGGAGCAGCACCGGTTCGTCGGGTGGTCGTCGCTGTCGTCTAAATAGCGAAATAGCAGGTATGACGTTGCATGCGCACCCGGTCACTAGAATAGACGGCCAGAATTGCCTGCACGGATCAAACTCACACCTACTTTTCACCATGTGGGGCAAACAGGCGAACTCTCTTTACGGTTGATACAGCTCTGTAGTCCCTTCCCTCTCCGCGGCAGTCTAAGAGACACCGCGTGCTTCAAGGGGGGTGATCAACAGAGATCTTGATGATGAGCTGATTTCGAAAACGAAATCAGCAAACGCAAGCACCCAACGATCACACACGAGATTCATAACACAAGGTGGGTGGGAAGTGCTGCACAAGAACGAACGAAAGAGCCTCCTAGATGCCGCACCGAGCAGCGGTTAGAACTTGTCTCCTGTCTCTACCAGCGTCCGAAGTACTGGTGTAAACTACAGCAGCCGTATACGAGACAAGATACCGCACCCCCGGGTGTTGTACTCTGTGGGTGCGTTATCTCGTGTCGTATGCATAAACGGTGGCTCACACCGCTACAAGCTGCGTTGGACGACCCACAGCAGTTTAAGGGGTATCGAGATTGAAAGGGTCTGTGACGGTGCGGAGGACAGTAGTGGACCGTGAATGGAATGGACCCAGATTTGCGGACTTTTAGGACCGCAGCTGCAGCCTTCGACAGCACGACCCTAGCAACAAATCTGGGTGTCATGGTATTTGGAGGTAGCCATGTGATGGTGCGTTACCATGGTTATTGACGTTACATCAGATGTTGTGCTATGTATGACGTCATGCAAGATTCCGGTTTCATTCCGAGTCACGTGCCCTTCTGGTCAGTGTGCGTTGGGCTTGGTTTGTGTTGGATTCCGGCTGCATGGTTTACATGCTAGGTGATAGGAGAGCATCCTCAAGGAGAGAACAAAGGGAAGCAGCAACAACCTGCCTCTGTGGTCGGACAAGTTCCGCACAGCTTCGAGGTGATTGTAAGGAAAGAGGTGCAGAGTCGCGTGCCAACGCGCTTGTCACTGCTCCAACGCGCGTGTCACTGCTCCATGTTCTCCTGCCGAGTTAGCATCGAACATCAACACTTTCGGAGCCGGAATGTCGCTTTCGGGTCTTCTTATTTACACAGCAGTACACTATTCTTGCTGCAGAAACCGATTCCTCGAGGCGTTTTCAGCAACCGACGAATGATTTGTAGACTACACATGTACACCACTAAAACATAAAGGTGCTTTTCGCGAGTTTCGGTGACTGGTGGTTGGTGTACAGCACCAGCACCACCGACAGCAGCGGTGTCGAACGTAGCCTCTCACCCTCCTCCTACATATACGCACACACGCGCTTTGGCGTCTTTTCATTGGTCAGCCGGTTGGCGCGTTAGCGCGGTCGATGAAACAAACAAATTGCCTGTAGCGGCAGTTACATACCAGGGAATAGAACAGCAGTTGTGAGTTCCGGCAAGTAATCTGTACATGATCTTCAGCAGCAGTTACAACACACGCAGGGTTCAGCAGCAGTTAGTTCATCCAAAATTGGTCGCGCAGTCCAACGCCGCTACAGTACTGCTGTAGGCTTGTGCGACAGTCCTGGGTGGGCAGTGTACTTTATGACTACAGCAGTAAACTACTGCTGGTGTGTGCAGAAGTACTGCTGTAGTGTGTACATGCTTGCACAATCTTCTCGGTCAGGACATGAACATTCAAATGAGGATGAGATGTTGTCGCTCACTGTTGGGAGCAGGGAACGCCATCTCCGCGGCCCAGTTGGTTGATCCTCCTCGTCCACGCCCACGGAAAGCAAGCGCGGGAGCAGATCGTACGTACGTTGTTGGCGAGGCGACGAAGGCTTGCGCAGGAAGACAACCGTTGCTGCTGCTGCCGCTGCTGCTGCAGTACAACATGCTACTACAAGCTAGCACGATGCTGCCGTTTGATGAACGGTTCTCAAAACGCCATGGCCGCCGCCGCCGCCGCACTGCTGTCGGCGGCCGATGCGCACCACTGAAAGAAGGAGACTCTCCCCGCATCGTCTCCGGTACACAGCCGGATATATGTATGTAGGGCGGGATAGTGAATAGTGAGTGGTGAGTGGTCGACACACCGCTGCCCCCCAGTCCCCCCCGGTACTCTGTAGTTAGTCTCTCTGGTTGGGACCCTTATCTGCGGAGGTATGCATACAGACAGGCAGGCCCCAACCCAGACGACAGTTCTCCCCCCACACCAATGGCCTTGGGGGAAATGAACAACTAGCCCGTCTTTCGTCTTCGGCTTTCGCGTCCTTCCCCCCTACCAAGACCCCCGCTGTGCTCGGCGCTGAGAGAGGAATGGCGTCCCACCAGGGGATGCGCGCTCAGATCGAGGGGCACTGGCGCAATTTCGACTCCCTTGCGGAAATGCAGAGTGGAGGAAACGAAGCTATCATCCGGGCTATCGACGTCTTCGAAGGTCAGTCAGGCAGAGAGAGCGAGCGAAGCAGCAATCAATGTGGCTGCTTTTTGGGAGGCAGACATGAAGAGGAGGAGGAAACTGATGCAGCTGTACAGCAGTAGACCTAAATGAAAAGACTCTGCTGCTGCTGCTGTGCACCCCGCCCTAAAATGAATGGGATATGTGACCAACCCGGGGTGCGTTCCGGAGCGTTACTGCACTGCTTGCTGCTGTGTCATGTGCTTGCTTTTTGGCCTCCCCCTGCTCTGGTTGAATCCTCTTGCTATACGTTGTTGATTGTCAGCAATATATTATCTGTCTCACACAACAACACCTGCCCGTTATCGTGTGGCACGCATCATCATCTTCCACAGGCGCTCGCGGAGCCTTCATCGCGGAGCAGGAGGCACGGGGGGGCGGGGCGGGAGCAGCAGCACCAAGCATGTTCGGCGCGCATCAATGGGAAGGGGGCTGGGCATCGGGAGGAGGAGGAGGAGCAGGGGCAGCAGCCGACGACGGGGGGGCGGCGGCACGCCGTGCGTACGTGAGGGCGGAGGAAGGCTTGGCGCTGGCTCGAGAGCAGCTTGCTCGAAACGAGGAGACTCTGCAGCAGATGGCGGAGGAGGTCGAGCGTGCGAGGGCTTGCATACGTGAGAGAAGAGGGGATGGGATAGAGTCGCTGGTGGGCACTCTCGGAGTACGTAATAGAATAGCCTATTGGCTGTACAGCAATCGGGTTTTCACTGCCTCCCCGTTTTACGCTCGCTCGGCGAGGTTACAAGAAGATCGGTTCAACGGCTTGTTATCTTGCAACATACATGTAGTTCAACGGCTTGGAGATCTTAATGATGTAACATCGACCAAAAAATAAATGTGTTCCGAAAACGAGTGTGCGCGAGGATGACCGTAGGTAGATACCGTATGTAGACATAATGCGAGTGAGTGCCCTTTCGAAGTCACTTCTCTCTCCCTCCCTGCTGTGTGTTGGGGTTATTGATCGCACCCCCCTCGTGCCGTCGACTAATCCCCGATGGGTCCGAAACGGTACTCGCTGCCTGCTGCTGCTCCTGTGGTTCAGAGGGCGGCAATACAATTTGAACATGGAAACCTTCGGGGTATTTAACTTCAAAATTTGAATTATTTTTTGAATTATTTTTTAAATGTTTGAAAGAAGGCAGCCCCACGCCCCCGACCAGTGCGATACCCCTCCGACACTATCATGCGATGCCGAGTACTACACAGCGGCCTTGTTGGCTACGGTGGAGTTTACAGTAGGAACCCCGGTGCGATGACTCCCAAAGGTGCGACACCACTAATTTACCACGTCTACGTTTCCACTGATACCTGCGTTAGCACCGACGGACTGCTGTTTGTACAAATATGCTCACCTAACCTATTATTAGTATTATTATAGTAGATGCCAGTTTATTTGAGTGTACCTTTGTAGGGTAAGTTAACCTGTGACCACGGGAATCGACCGCGTCGAGTGTTGGATCAGTACGGACATACGAAGGTACTGGGTAGAGAGAGATCGGAACGGTTTTTAATGTGAAGACAACAACAGCAACAACAAGTAGATACGGACTTGGACGTAGCGTCACCATCGATAATTTTTACTTTTTACCGGTGCATACATCGAGTGATCATTCCGTTCTTGTTTTTTTTGTTAAAACCCGTTGCGCGACTAAATAGACACTACTACTGCACTGCGACGACGGGCGATGGGTGTATTCAAGCCGGGTGTTCACCAGGGAATTGTCCACCCAGAAACCACACACCCGGTCCAAGAGCGGAAAGATCCACAGAAAAGTCACGGTTTTGATCGATCACAGGTGCAAGGACAAAAGACCTCAATGCATACGGCAGTTCTATTTTTTTTCCAGCTGAAGTTTAAGGGCGCCCTGAACCCTGAACAGTTTAACTTTGGCGAGCGGAATAGCGGAATAACACCCCTAATCGACCACAAATCAGTCGAACGAACCCCCGCGCTTCCCGCAAGGTGGCCCCGAGGGTCGGTGGCGGTAAACCTGTTCGTTGTCTCGCTCTCGCTGCGTTGCTACACAGCACGAGGGAGAGTCTTCCCAACAGCCGCACAACCACGGGCTCCACAGCCAACCGGCGAGCAAAAGAATACCCCCTCGTCCTCGTCCTGTGTGCTGACCAACAACAGCACGACAAGTATGTAGCAGCACCAGCAGCACCAGCACCAGCAGCACCAGCTGCTGCCCCCGCCGCAAATATTTATACTTGCAGCAGATGCCGCGGTTCTCTTCTTCTTTCTTCTGTGGTTTTTGCCCCCCCTTCCGGATTGTGCCCCGAGGGTGTTCCCGTCCCGCGTAGCTCGGGGGGCTCACTAAATAGCCGCAGTCCCCATCTCCACATCTATCTCCGCAAGCCAGCGCAACTACCTCACTCAACCGTGTAGCCTTTTTTCGTTGCTGTGCCGCGCGCTTAGCCCTTATGTGACTACAGGCCGATTCAGCTCCGTTCTCAGCTCCGATCACTTTGCGTGCCGAAAGATCGCCGTTTTGCCTCGGCTAAGAGCAAAAAACATACATAGAGACCAGCAGGGAGACACAGGCAGCCCACCCCATAAGCACGCTTACCAGCAATGCGCACAGGACTCACATAATACAATACTATTCACCCATGCCTAATATCTCTCTGACGTGGGGCGGATATCCTTTCCAGATCCAATCTACTGCCTACCGGCTGTACAGATTCAAACGCAAAATACCACCGGAGGGTACATACAGCACCCTGAACATGTGATCACCCCGGTGCCGCATCCGCGTGGGAGAGCAGAGAAAGCGCACCCCGGAGCCGATGCTAACGTACTGCCTCGGTGCTTGATGTGGTTGTGATTGCGGTGCGTGTGGTTCCCAATATTGGGAGTGAAGGGCGGTTCGTGTGGTGTGTGCAAAATTTCGCTCAAAGGCAAGGGTTTTCGGGACTACAGCTCCGCTCACAGCTCCGCTCACAGCTCCGATCACAGCTCTCTATTTGTAGTACAGAATAGTTAAATTTATCACGATTTTTATGCATTTTGTGCGATAGTGGATGATGGTCTCGATTCTCTGATGATCGGGCCGTTTTTTCGTCGATCTGGCGCTTCTGTGAGGCGGTTTCCCGTCAGCGCCTTCGCATCTAGCGCCGCTAGCTTTTGCGCTTGCCGTATGCTCTGTCCAAGGATGAGGTGGAGAAGATGTGCCAACAGGTATTGCTTGCACAGGTACATCCTCTGTGCGGATGGTTGCTGTCGGAGACAGGCATGCACACCTGCTCAGAAACTACTGCTGCTGTACAGCAGTCTATTTCTCTCCGCATTGCTGCTACTGCTGTACAACAGTAGTACTACTGTACTCCTGTTCGTCACCCTTACATATACCGCGTCCCCATCCCTGTGAGCCCCACACATGGACCCACTGCTGCACCATCCTTGCCGCCGTGATTTACGGGTGTACACGCATGCTTGGAAGATCTTTGACCGCAGAGAGCCAGTTGTGGGGAATAAACAAAAAAAATCAAATTAACCCAGTCACGTAAGGGTTAACTCCAAACTCTATTTAGGTGCCTGTTTTATTGTGTTTTTCCGAAATGTCATTTTTATTATTATTTTCCACGAAGTCTGGAAGGTAACCCACTGGCAAATAACGAGGGTGCGACACCGGCCGCCTCCCTCTCTCATCCAGCATCCGAGGTTCCCTTCCATGTTAACTGGCTAGGTCTAACAAAATGGCGTCTCAGTATACCGAGACCCCCAATGGTACTCTACCATTGGCATCCAACCAAAACCTATGTACACCAGTTCCGCGCAGAAAATAGCAATCATGGACATATCCAAGGAATACCCCCTGGTACTCCTGTCTCCCCCCCCGTCCCTGTTATCATCCCTCCCCCCCCCCCCCTCGTTCGGAAAAAATAAGGGTGGCGTGGGTGGGAAAAGCGACAACACCAGCTGCCAGGAACAGAATGGTCTAGCAGCAGGTAGCAACCGACAGTGTTGTCCGCTCGCACGTCTAGCTCTCCCTGCGCTATTCCTAGCGCTGATGCTCCCGACGTGCGAGGTAGACTCGAGTAAGAATGACCAGCGTGCGTCTGTCTCGACCAAGCACGCAGATATCCTCTTCGCCATATAATAGAAATGCCTACTTCTTCCAACTCCAATAAACACCAATTTTTTACTCTTCCCCCCCTTTGGTCGGATCCGTCAGAAATACTCGCTTTTTTTTTTTCATAATATGACACGTATGAGACGGTTGTCTCCAGGTTCGCGTGTGAGCAAGTTCCTTTTAGGATGTGTGGTGTGGATACACACCGGTTCAACCTCTGGTGGAGAGGCTGACGAGTACGGATAGTTGTGTTATGAGTCAAGGGGGGGAGCAACCTTGCGTTGAAGCAAGGTTCAGCGTCCATCCTACACGGACTCTATCTGTGGCAACACCCCGAAGGTAGATCTCCGACAGGTCATCTGACGTCACAATCTACGACAGTCTGAGGTGGCGTTCACACACGACGAATCCATATCTATCCTCGAAAGATTCTACCATAGATTACTGCTGTAGCGATGAATATTCATAGCGTCAGCGGAAACTACCTGTAGATCTTTGAAATTGGCGGGTTGACCCGCGGGCCACTTTGTATTTTCTTTTACATATTTGTCTTGATACAACACCGCGAATCCATCTCTATCCACGAGTAAGAGTTCTCTACTCCGGGAGAGTGCTTTGGATCTTCGTGCCGAAACAAGTACTCTGTCTGGGTGTGCATGAACCACGGGGGGGTGCGCACAATATTTTTCCGGTAACGGCCGGGCCTCACTCGCATGATTACGGCTCGGCAACAAAAAATGACAAAACATTTGGCGGCCAATCACTTGTTTTGACGGAAGGTGCGTGCCAAGACCTGCCCTCCGATAGGTACGCGAAAACCGCCAGCCCGAGAATAAACGGGGCACCGCCGTGTTTATCGTACATTCCTTTCTTTGTGTTGGCGACGACATGAGGCAGATTCGTTCTACAACACGGACGAAGTGGCGAGCCGAGAAGAGCGTCGAGAAGTGCGGTCGAGGGCATCCCTGCAGGCGCTAGACCGCGGGGACTCCGGCTGCGCCATGACGCCGGTGGACATGTCGAGGGCGATGGCCGGGCTGTTGCGAATGCACCAGAGCGAGTTGGAGATGCAGGTGAGTTTTTACGTTTTGCTCACAAGCCTCAAGAGTCACGCCTTTTTTGAACCAGACCGGAACGATACTCGGCAGTATAAGGTGCGTGTTGTATGTATGTGCAGCGTAGCTTGCTGTGGGGACTGATTGGAGCACGGAAACCTGCTCCTTCGCGCCACATTGCGCCTCCCGTGACCGGTGCGTCGCTTCGCGCTTGCCTTGGGTACAGTCGCGACCAAGCGAGGAGGAACGCGAGCGCTTGCAGACCCCCCCCCCCCCCCCCATCACTACGAAGGTGCCAGAAATTCTCTAGCAGATTCTCTAGCAGTCCGAGTAAAGAGCCTGCAACGTTCTGTCTGTACGTTCATGTTTGTGCGTCGCGCGGCAACAGGAAAGTATTGTGTACGGTCTGGGTTACGAGACTCCCGCTGAATTAATCACGTCGTACCGGGAGGCGCTGGGGATGCGACCCCACCTGGATGACCAGCACCGATCCCAGGCACAGGAGGTTCGTGTGTTTGGTCTCGTGAGAGAGAGAGAGAGAGAGAGAGAGGAACGCGTTGAGAGTGTCATGAGCCGCAACATGTTGCAATTTTACGTGTTCACGAAACGGAAAGAAATGTCTGTCGTTGGATCTGTCCTGTTGTCCTTGTCGGTCTACCGGAAGCACGCGTGGCGAACCAAGCACACAAGAGACCCCGACGGCCTCAAAACCGGGCAACGCCCGGACGAAACAAAGGCGCGCAACACGCGAGCCAGCCCTCTCCGCCTTGGTATCTCACAGCCTCATTCCGCGATGGAATAACTTGCTCATTTTCGCGTAGCCCACGATGGAAAAGAAGCCTCTTCTTGGCAAGTGACCCTGCCACTTCTCTCTGCGGATGTGCGTGACCCCTGTTCAGATCCGAGATTTGAGCCAGGAGCTTGAACAAGCCGGGGGTCTGATGTGAGAGGAAGATGCAGCTTGTACTATCACCACCATTGTCGGTGAGTGCAGGGGACAAGTAAGCGTTATTTCTGTCGTGCTACCGTTGCGGGGTGCGCACTGAATCTTCAAACTGCACAAAGACGTTTCTTTTGTTCACGGACGTTGGTGCTTCGGGTATCCACCAAAGACTTCACTTCTCTCTAACGAAAACCGTTCTGCCCTATCCATGCCCTCGGCATTAAAAAAACCCAATAAGTCCCACACTAGCTTCGGTTCTATACATACACACACAATCACATCACATCCGATACACTTAAGCATGTTGGTCTTGTGGCCCTTCTAACTCTATCCCACAAACGATGACGATCGACTAAACGACCACACGGCAAGTGAAGTGTACAAGCAGCACGATCTTCCAACTAGTAAAAGCTTCTATTTACAAGAGAGCTGTGGTATTGCCCTGCTGCTTACAGAGACAGAGAACCGTCGGACGATTCGTCGTCTTCTCTCAGACGTATGATCGCCGCTTCCGCGACCATGGCCGCTCTTCGCGGAGTGGTGCTCCTCCCCCGCTCCCGCTCCCGCATCCTCGAAGGAATCGTAGGTCCTTGGCCTTTGTTGGCAGCACGTGCCCGATCACCCGTTGCCGACCTCCTTGCGCGTTTTCGCCCTGTAGCACAGGGCTCCTGCTGTACGCTAGGAGCGGCGGCGGGCTTTACCCTCCCGTCCTCTGGCTCCCGCGTAGCCGCCACCACCGCTTCTCTTCTCGCCGCCTCTCCCGGGGTTTCCCACGAGAGGCGTTTCACCTTCTCCATACTCGAGGGATCCTGGTGTGCCGCCGGCGGCGGTGTTGCCTTGGTTGTCGACGCCGAAGTTGTTCGCTGCGCGCACAAGCCTGAATATCCGCCCGCCTTGTCAACCTCCCTCGCCTCTGATGTTGCCGCCTTTGACGACGTTGCCCACCCCCCCGCCGCCGCCGCCGCCGCTGTATCGTCAGCGTGTTGTCTTCTTGTAACCCCCAGGTCGGGCTTGAGGATGGCGAGAGTGGCGGGAGTGAGAAAGCGGTTGGGTCTTCGTCGTCCTCTTGTCGCAGCAGCTGGCGGCGGCTGGGCGTGATGCCGCTGCTCCTCCGTCGGCGTTCCAGACACTGCGGGAACTTCGGGTTCGGCCGGCGAACTTTCGCGCTTTAGGCTGGCGAAGCGTTCAGCGTTCAGGAAGCGGTTTCGACGTGGCACCGGCGCCGGCGCGCTGCCGTTGCCATTGCCGTTTCCGTTTCCGTTTCCGTTTCCGGTGCCGCCTGCTCGGCCGCGGCTGTAGCGGGAATTATCCTTGATGATTACCTCCGCCATTTCTGCTAGCTGTTGGAGCTGCGCGGTCGGTTCCGCCTCTTCTTTGCTATTACTAGCGCCGGAGGAGCTCCCGGTCGGGCGTGGTGGCACATCAGAGGTGCCGTTGGTACGAGAACCGGCGTCGTTGTCGTCGTGACGACGGGAAGGCGTCGCCATCGAAACTACGCGGGCGGGCGAGGCGCGGGCGGCACCGGCGTCGACGCGACCGCTGCTAGATATTTCCGGCGATTTCGTCGTCGTCCGACCGCTACGGTGCGTCGATGTCGTCGCCTCCTCGTGCCGCGCCCGCTGCCAGCCGTTGTCGACCACGCCGTTGCCGTCGGGCAAGCTTCTTCTCCGCGCCGGTTCTGCTTCTTCTTCTTGCCGCCGCGAAGCGGCGACGGGGCGTGTTGCAGCACCCGTTGGCGGAGGACCTTGGGGTTGTCGTCGGTCTCGGTGGTGCCCGCCCTGAGCCGGTGCGGTAGGCTCCGCCGTTCGGCATCTCGCAGCCGCGGCGCCCCCTCCCCCGCCTCCGGAAGTCTGGCCAAGGCCAGGTGCGACGGCCGTCGGCGGCAGGACTTCGAAGGGGAGTGTCTCGCCGAAGAACGGGTGGGCCAGAGCCTGTGCCGGGGTCAGCCGCTCGTCGGGGTCGTAGCGAAGCAGCCCGCTGATGAGGCTCAGGAGGCGCTTGTTCTTCTGCCCGGCGACGGCGGTCGTCGCGCTGGGGGGACGGCGGGGTTTCGGTCTGGCAAGGCGGGGGTGGTTGCTGTGTTGGCGATGGCGATGGTGGTGCTCGGACGCGCTATTGGCGGCCGCCGCTGCATGCCCCGCGGCAGCAGGGGCTTGTTGCGGTGGTGGTGGTGGTGGCGGAGGCGCGCCGATGAGCCGGGAAATGCAGGCCTCCGAGCTTGAACACCCCGTGGACCCGGCGGGGGGGCCGAGCCCTCGCCGCCCGGCGGCCGCTGCTGCAAGAGGTGCCGCCGATCCATCGCCACGCATGTCTGACAGACGACGACACCTTAGAGCGCAACAGCCGTCGCAGGAGCTGACGTCGGGGTCTTCGTCCGGTGAACGCCTGACTCCTATCCAGCAGCAAGAGCAGCAGCCCATCCTCATGTGTTCGTCTCCGGAGTTGGCTGTGGGTATTCCTGCCTGCCGCATAAGAAGCGAGTAAATAGGGGGGCAAGCAAGCGGAAAAGCAAGCGGGCACGGGGGTGAGGACTGCTATGTACACGCCTTAAACGGACAGCCAAACGAGGGAAGCTATGGTATCGTCTGTTGCGGCTTTTGAGGATGGACCATGGTATATTTTTGTATTCCTTGTATGAATTTCTCGCGCGTTCTGTTGCGCTCTGTACAGCAATTTCTGTGTACCTGTATAGCACACACACACCGCCCGTGCGTACGATATTGACGGGCATTTCTGTGTTTTCGATTCGTGTTTCACGCATGTTGGCAACAAATAAGTAAATTAACTGGTCTCAACAACGTGGTATCAAGTATTACAGTCGATTTGGATTCGGTACAAGGCCGGTCGCCCCGGTACTCTAGTTGGTCCCCTTGCAACCTTCTCGCGACCAGGGGCAGGGGTTCGAATCCCGGCGTAAGCGGGCTTTCCTTGCAAAGCGAGGTTTTCTCTAGCTTCCGTTCATCTGTAGTTTTTGTGGCAAGCGCTGTTAATTAGTTCGTGTGTGTACACTTTGAGGGAAGAGAGTGCTGCACTCTTCTCGCGTTAAATATCGAAGGCGCAAGCACGGCAGGAAAGGGGTGGGTGCGTCGGGGGCCTCAAGGGGAGGAGCCCTCATGTGTGACCGCGGATTGGAGCTCTTACCTGGCAAAAAAGCCGTAAGCGCTGAGTGATGAAAATGTAATAAAAAAAACACCGAGGGTGTTCAAAGCTGGCAAGTTGAAGCTGCTTGCAGCAGCAGTAGAGTGGTGGTGGACCCCCCCCCAAGCATTTTGCGCGCGCGCACTTGCGGCGCCACTTCTCTCACTCCTGCAAATCGGGCCTACCTGCAAAGACATGCCCTTAGGGAAGTACTCGGAGAAGTAGTGGCCGACTCGAAAACGCCTAAGCGGCATCGGCCCCAAGGCGCACACAGTCTGGTGTACCAAGGCCACGCGCGAGCCGGCGGTGTCGAAAAGAGGCCGGCCTAGCAGGAGCTCCAGAAGAATGACACCCACGCCCCAAACGTCAACAGCTGGTCCAAAAGGACACCCCATGAGCACCTGCTAGTCGACACCGCAAGGTGGGGAGTGGTGGAGCAAGTGAGCGTGGTCAGCTCTTTCGAGCATGCGCACGGCGGGCAAGTCGACAAATCACGTGGGTATATACCATTTCAACAATCTGCGAAACAACTAAGGAGAGAGCGAGTACCAAACACATACCGTCCGTATGGAGGTCACAAAAGGCACGACGTCCCCTGCGGAAAACACGACAAAAAAAGCATCACCGATATGTGGTGTTCTACCGTCGCCCACGGTAGTGCTCTCGCTCCGTATACCGTTTTAAAGGGCGCTGGAAAACCTACACTTGCGTCTCTAGTTTTTGGTAGCAAGACCAATCGGCCTACATTTTGGACCCAACCTACAAATCTTCTCTTCAAAAGTACAAACACGCGAGGGAGCAAGCAGCAGACATTGTTTTCGCGAAGGGGCAAACCCGACGAGCCTACAATACAACCTCTTCCAAAGCCAAAAAGACTCCCACTACTAAAAACACACGACACTCGCAGCCAGCATCGAAACCCACCGCTACAAGGTACACCCCCTTGCCTCTGGTGCCCTGTAGGCGAGCGTCTGCATCTGGAAGTCTCCGTAAAACAGGTACGTCTCGCTGCGATGGATGGCGCTGCCCAAGTCTCCCAACTTCACCGTCAGCCGTTCAACACCACCACCGCCGCCGCCGCCGCCGCCGCCGCCGCCGCCTGCTCGTCCGCTAATGAAATCAGCGAGGCACAGGGGACAGCCGCGGCGGCCTGCCTCCTCCTCCTCCTCCTCCTCCTCCTCCTCCTTCTCCTCCCCCTCCTGCCGCCGCCCTTCCATCCTCAGGAGGACGTTCTCGGGCTTGACGTCCGCGTGGATGAGCCCGTGGCTGTGGAGCAGCAGCAGCGCGCTCACCAGCTGGAGAGCAACGTGCCGGATGACGGCCACGGGGCAACCGCCGCCGCCGCCGGACGAAAACCCGGCGGCACCGCCGTCGCCTGCGCCGCGCTCGCCCTTCTTCCGCCCTATGCTGCTGCTGCCATTGCTGCTGCCGCTGTCCTCGAGGGCACCACTGCAGGGTGACGACGCTCCGACGCCCGCAAGACTACCCCACCCTAGCCTGCCGCTGGGCTCAGCAGGAGCGCCCGCCCGTTGAAAGCCCCCCGGGCTTTCGCGGGTTCCCTGGTCGACGAAGAGACGGGCAACCGACCACTTCTCGACAGCGCTCGAGTAGGATCTGGTCCTGCTGTTGTTGTGCGTCGTCGTCGTCGTCGCCGTCGACGGTAGCGCTGCTGCTTCTGCTGCTGCTGCTGCTGCTGCTGCTGCTGCTGCTGATGGCACGCTGGTTCGCTCCCGCTGCCCCGCTCCCCCCTCCGCACCCGAGAGAGACAGAGTGCCGCTGAAGAGCTCGGTGACGAGGCAGTAGTGCCCCTGGTAGGTGAGAGCATCGAGAAGCCTAACCACTGCGGCAGGGGGCACCACCCGCCATTCGAAGGGAAAGGTCGGGGGTCGGAAGGCAGGCAGGTGTTACAGAGCAGAGGTTCAGCGTGTTCTACAGTCGCACACGCAACACTCGGGGAGGGGGGGGGGGCATGAGGTTCACGGCCAACGCCAGCGCCACAGCTGCCACCAAACGGCATTTGGAAGCGCTCGGGGAGGGGGGGGGGGGGGAGTCCGGGAACGATGCTTATGCACAAGCCAAGAACAAGAATATCGCACAAGAAAGGTTGCAATTGACGCAGCCGCCGGCGAAGCGAGACTTCCACAAGAAACAATCTCACACGCCTAACCTTCCGCAGGTCGTCTATGAAGCTGAAGCAGCAACACATCCCGCCAGCTGCCCCCTTTTCTAGTGCCCGCACACACACGCACACACCCTACAGTAGAATCTTCCAGCCTTCTCCGCGGAACCCCTGTCGAGAGCCCGCGGGCTAGATGCTAGGATGCTTTTATTTAATCGCTTGAAGGCTGACGTATTTTTTCAGTGGTCAGCTGATTTCGCGCGGATCATGCTAACATACGATCAATCAAACACACAAAACACACACACACACACACGATGCTCATTCTTCGACTTTTAAGGACAACGTCACGAGACCTTGACATCACTGGCGTCTTGTCATTGGTCACCGGGCAAACCCGGTCGATGCTAATACAAAAACCACTCAAGCACACACAACACCCACCTGGTCGGAACTCGGAATGGGGCACGGAGCTGAGGAATCTCATAAACCTCACTTCTCGGATGCCGATAGCTCCGCAGCCGAGGTTCATCACCTTGACGGCCACCGATCTCCCCGGTCTAAACGTGTCTTGCGCCCTTTTGCATCACGCGCGCGCGCACACACACACAACCGCACTGAGACTGGCGTACGTCGTTTCATTGGTCAGCCAGTTAGCGATGTTAATAATTTAGACACACACACACACACACACGTCAACGGTCGCGGGGATAAGTTCCTTACATTTCACTCAATACAGGATGAATTCGTTCACATCTAAAAACCGACAAGTACGGTGGGGGGGTGTACTCATAGTCGTGCAATGTAGTCGTATGACCATTGACCTGGCATCTCTACAAAGCCGGGACGGAGCACGCCGGGTTCTCACCGTACCAGGCTCTCACATCACCAAGCGAGAAGCGCCGTGAGATATTCGGCGGGTCGCATGAAGGGTGCGCTGCATCCTGCTAGCGGTGTTCGGCATCTTGTGCTTACTTCCTTGCGTACGGATGACAGCTACGAATGACTTAATTATATTTTCTGGTGCTTCCATGTCCAGAGCCAGTTCGAAGCACTGTATAACTGCCCCGAGGGTGCTTTACCAATTTAACACAACGTGGTGCGATTATTCCCTTTGCGCGGAGTGAGGGTTCTCGACCCCACACATCACGATCTACTCGACCCCCATTATGGCTACCGCAAAAAAAAAGCAACGGAAAAAAAAGAAGCGGTAACCTGGTTGCCGAGCTCACGAAGTGAATGACTTGCTTTAGAAGCACGGGGGGGTGAGAAAAGGGAGCGTGTTCGGGGAGGAATTTCCAACGCGTTCGACGCGTTGTTTGTCCGAGATTCGGTCTTGACGCGTGGAGTAGATTACGCTGTCTCCAGCAAGCTAGAGACACAAGGACAGACACCCAGGCACGGAGCGGGGCGCTTTTCGAAGCGCACTGTTCGGTTTTTCAAAAGGATGTACTTCTAAGTTAACGTACCGGACGACGTCCGAAAACCGTCCCGTCCCGATCGTCGACACGTATCTGTAGCGGTGGCCCAATAGCGGCATCGCTGCGAATTCTTCCGCGGACACCCTCGGCGAGGGCGGCGGCTCCGGCGTCGAGGATCGCCAACCGACCGCTGCTGCTGCTGCTGCTGCTGTGCCCTGCTTCGTCCCGCTCGATCGGGTGACGACTCCTCTTCCTCTTCCTGGTGCTGGCCCCGGGTTCGCGGCGTTGCCGCCACAACCATTGGCTGTGCGGGACGACCGACAGTGAGTCTTCTCGCCCGGAGTGCTGCCGCCGCCGCCGCCGCCGCCGCCGTGTGCTAGCTTCCGGCGGTTGGCGTCGACGGTGGCGTAGAGGGCTCTCAAGCCGAGCAGCGCCCGGCACGGGGCGCTCGCCTGTTGGCCGGCGTCACCAGGTAGTTGGCCACGCAACAAGGCGGGTCAAGCGGTAAACAGGCGTCTCAGCGTCGTGTGGTGGTTGGATATTGTTTGCTGGTCGGTTCGCTGGGACTGACGTTGGTTTCCTTTTTGGGGGCGGGGCGGTGTTGGCGTTGAGGGACGCCTGCCCGGGAAGGTATGCCACGCCGCTCGCCAAAGAAATATTTTTTTCCATTACACCGTGTCACGGGGGTCCCGAGAATGAAATCTATAATAGCACAAGGGATGACATGGCACACACACACCCTTCGTTTGCCACACCTCTTGCAATGTAGCAGACGGGGTCCTGTGAGCACTAAATACTAAATACTCTTGTTAGCTGTTATCACACGTGCGACATGAGATACCACCCCCTAAGCTCAGCCTTATCAGGCAACCCTGATTTATTGCCTGACAGCCCCTTTTCAGATCGGGGTTGCCTGAGAGGGTGTTTGGTGCCTGAGATGCCTGACTTTCGCCAGGCAACGCAGCACGCCAAAACACGTGTCAGGCATCATAAAATAAATGCCAACTCTCATAAGTAGGTATGTAGGGGGCCGAGGGGGGCCCGTGAGACACAGAGAGGGGGAACAAATCAAGCACGGACCCCCTCCTAATAAAAAAAAACAAAAAAGTAGAAATGGATTCGTTGTGCCATATTAAGAAAAAAAAAAAAAATGCACGACCTTGCGCGCTCGACGAATGATGCGCCGTGGTAGTTTAGCTAGCGGTGTGTCGTGCTGGTAGTAGTGTCGTGCTGGCAGTGTGTCGTGTGGTCGTGCAGCAAGATGCTGCCAGCTAACTTTTCTTGCCCGTGCGTACATGAAAGGGATTGCGGGAAAGTCGAGGGGGCGCCAATAATCTGGCTGCTCGCATTTACCTCCGGTCATACTTTAAAAATCCTGGCCCCCTAGAGCTCGTTGACTGTTAGCGTTGTCTATTTAGCGCTTCTGCACACACCAAACAGATGGAAGTGGGGGAGGATGGTAATTATCGGTTTACCATGCCTTGCGTCGGCGGGGAATGCTTTGCTTGTTGTCGTACGTTGAATGTCCGAATCTTGTTTTGAACGTTTTTGTTTGTTGTCTGGTTTCTTTGGCATCTATCTGTACAACAATCTTCTTTGCGAAGTAATGGTTTTCTCTGTTTCTTTCTGCTTCTCCAGCCTCTGTGCGCTCTCTGTACCTCGCCCCTCGCCCCTCGCCCGCTTCAAGCAACCTCTTGCTGATGTTGGTGGAGTACTGAGTCGAGACGCACGGGGCAAATAAATGTTGTTTGCAACAGAAAACAATGGTATATATTTTTCGTCAACTACGTGTCTGAATACTTCAGTGTAAGCCCTGAATGCCAACACTGCCGGTGCACGTTAGTTGCGCGCTACAGTTGCGTAATGAGGGCGCCAAAACGACTTGAATGGCTTTCAGGCAAGTGTCAGGCAAGTTTTCAGGCAGGTTGCCTGATTCAAATCAGGCATTTCAGGCAAAAACCTGGTGTCAGGCAAATGCCTGAATTTTTGCCTGACCCCAAAATTTTTCGCCTGCGGCGGGCTGTTTTGCACATGCCTGAAGCACGCCTTCGGCGTGCCTGATAAGGCTAAGCTTACCACCCCCTCTCACAGATCACAAGTCCTCCTTTTTTTTTTTTATCACACGGTTGTGCTATCTTATGCAACCACCGTACATCGTGGTCTACAGTTACAGCAGTCACTACACGAAGCCTACATTTGCATATGCTACAAAAACAAATCTTGGAAGTAGTTTTCCCGCCCTGCGCGAACTACAGAAGAACCGTACGTTGCAGAAGATACCACACCCCCTAGACCGATTGTCAAAGCTTGATTACTCCGCGACCAAGAGGAGGCCGGAGGCAAACGATACGTGTTCGGAAAGCTCTCGACGGGACGGTTCCAACTCCCCTATTTTCGGCATCGTCACTGCTTTCCCTGCCGAGTAATCAAGCTTTGAAAATCGGTCCAGGGGGTGTGATATCTCATGCAACCCACGGTACATTTACTTGTACACAGCAGGCGTATGCATATGCATGAACAGGTCGAACGGGATCGTGTACTGTATAGGGACGCCTGTAACGAAGGCAACACGTTTGCATAACAGGCTATTTAGCTTGCACGTTGAGACTTCGCTCGTGAAGCAGGTTGGAAAGAAGACATGAAAACAATGGAGAGCAAACGACAGGCAATCGGCCGGTGTTGGCGTGCCAACGCGTGTTCCGACACACGACCGTTGATTGTTTCTGGACCACCTCGTGTCAACCTTGAACATGCATGTTGGGTACACAGCGGTGAAGTTCCTGCCGTTTGTTGCCTGAAGCAATGCGAACAAAGATTCTGACAGAGAGAACCCGCCTTGAAGCGTGTCTCTTGCAATCACCACGCCAGACAGGCACCATGACAAACGCTGCGTACGGCTGTGTAGTACTGCGACAAGGCACACACAGCGATCGGCGATGCAAGTTTATAGTACAGCAACCCGGTCACAACTGAATACGGAGTAAAATTTAGGCGTGGTTCCGCTTCGTCGATGTTCGCCTGAAACCCACCCCTGAAATGCCGACACCTCTGCATGTCTCCTCGGCCAACGACGACAGCGGGAACTTTCCCGTGCTTTCCCTGCGGTATGGTTCCATCGTCCAGCTCTCTGCTCTCTTGTTTCCGCGCAGCGGTCACAGGTCGCACACAACCAAAGACTATGACTATAATGGTTATTATAGTCATAGTCTTTGCACACAACACGGCCAACACAAGCTCCCCGAGGGGTTACGCCGTATGGTTGTCGTTTCGTTGGCACCCCTCATTTCCGAACCCCTTGATGGCCGCTTCTGTCTGGCGCCCCGCTGCCTCTGCACTCGATCGTTTTCTTCTTCTTTCTCGATGGGGGGCCACTGGCGATGGTTGCTCGCCTGCGAGTGGTTTATTTTCTTGGCGGCGAGAGGGCTGGCCAGCCCGCTCGATAGTCTTGAACGAGAGCATTGGGTCAGCCTCGACTCAACAGCCACCGATCAGGTATGCCATGTGGTGTTCGCGCGTTTCGTCGGGCAAACTCACGCAAGTCGTACGTCCGTGTCTCCTGTCTCCTGCCTACCTGCCTCGTGATGGTACTCAAGAATTTTCTGGTCTGCTGCAGGGGGGGGTGCATCAGACGCGGCGGTACGACATCACCGTGACCCCCACATATATACCCAGCAGTGCAGCATCCATTACCATGTCTCCTGCTTGCTCAACCCGAGCGGGAAGACTTAGATCTGAAAATAATATAGACTCTAGATTTCTACATCCAGCACACCGACCCGCTGACGGCATCGTTGCCCCCTGCTGTACCTGCTTCACTCCTTTCGGGGAGGGGGCAACTGAAGAGCAACCATGGATAACTGCATCAAATATCTGCGCCGCTCTGGTACATGAAAGCGACTCATACTGCTGTATGTAGTGCTTAAATTCGTGGTGCTGTAGATGCCATGCCAGGGATCACAAAAGTGTGGTTTCGTGCACGTGCGGCGGAATCAGCGTTTTGTCGCGCGAAAATGAAGCCGTCCTGCCTGCGCTCTAACTGCTGTGTTGTACCTGCCTGCATTGCTCAATGTGCGCAATAGGGTTCATGCATTCTATGCAGGGTGGTGTACGGGTAAGGGTTTTAACACCTGAACAGGCTTCTACAACGTGTAAAATCCACGAGTGTTCTTTGTTAAATGATCCGCCAACGATCACGAAAGGTTACAAAAGCTCGGCTTATCGCGGGCGGGCTTTATTACCGTTGTGTTTGTGTTCGGGTCTGTTGGTTGTAGCCAACCGGGCTGCCGCCCCTTTCGTCATCCCCTTCGTTTAACAACACGTGGATGTGCGTGCGTTCAGACAACGGATGTTGCCACGGGTGCCGGGGGCATGGTGTACATCAGTGGCTACCAGCAGCAAGCGGCCGCGGGCACTGACGGGTCGCAGCCGAGCGTCCAAGCCCTCCTCATGGCGTACAACTCCTCGGGGGTTCGCCAGTGGGTCGCCGAGTATGGGTGAGCTTTTCTCGCCCGCGTGTGTGGGTTTTTATTCTTGTGCATCTTAGGGAAGCTGGAACCCTGTACCCGCAGAACAAAGATGCTTGCATGAAAGACTACCCGCTCGAGATATATTTTGTGTGTGTTTCGTACCTTGAGAGCCTCAGATCTGATACTTGTAACCTTCGTGAACGTGACCGTTGTATACAAACATCATTTCTGAACCTTTGTTCTTCCTCAAGTGTCACGGCAGGAGGGGCATACAGCACCAAGTTACGAGGAATTTGTGACTTTGGCACGACCACGTACATCCTCGTGCCTCGCCCCCCCCCCCCCCAACCCAGAGGTCTTCGAACGTGGC